TGAAGTCACAAATCTCTATTATTTGAAAGTAAAGTTTGGGATCTTCAATTTACTTAACTCCATAAATATGAATCTCCACCTTACAAAAATTAATTATATATATGTTAAAATTGCTCGCAACTTTCAAATGACTTAAAGTAGGAACAACATAATTTTAAGTGGTTCGATGTCAATGAAATTTTAAATAAAGTGAATTTCACATACGAATTTGATGTTTGTCCAAATTTAAATAAATTGGAGACTCGACACCTCACTTTTAAATTTTGAAGGACGTGTATACAACTATACATAATCACATCATGTGAAAAGTTTGAGTAACTGATCATAATTTTAGCTATAATTTTCTTCCGCAATTTCTTTTCCAAATAACACCATCATCCACCCTTAAAATATATATATGATGGCTAGAGGAGCATTGAAATTGAACATGGAAAGTAGAAAAAAAAATGCTCCCTCCGTCCCAATTATATAGGTTGAGTTTCTTTTTTCTCTTATCCCAATATATAGGTCTATTTCCTAACTTTGAATATTTTGTTTTGTTCCTTTACAAATATACGCTTATTTAATTTTTCTCACTTAATATGCGAACTTCTTGAAATCATAATTCAAATTCTTTACTAATTTCAACAACAATTTATTACTACATATCGAAAATTAAATAGGGGTAAATTTGGAAAGATGTTGGCAAAAATTTATTTTTTAATGACATTAAATAAAATTTCTTAATCCTTCTAAAAAGCGAAACAAACTTATATGATTGAGACAGAGAGAGTAAAAATAAAGGTTGTAATGATATAAAAATTGATGATTGCTTCCCGCGCTAACCCAACATTTGGACCAATCAAAATTGTGCATACACACACGATCCCAAGGATTCAATATTCCTGTGAAGTCGACAATCCGATCTTTTAGTTTTCTATACCTGTTTGAATACGATGATGTGACAATGTCATATATTTTAATTTTTATAGTTGGGAAATAAATTTAATTGAAATTATTTTTGTCCGCTTATAATTTTCGTAAAATGAACATCAAAATAAACATGCTTTTCTTGAAATTAACACCGTGATATCGTGGAAACTAAATTATACTTATTTTGTAAAGAAAAGAAAAGGTAGGAACAAAAGAGCCTCATCAATTACAATCATGAATCTAATTTATTCTTAAATGTTCGTCAATGATTGACACGTATATAATGTTGGATGTTACATGTCTCATCATTTCTTGAATTTGACTAGCAAATTCTCTGTCTTCTCCACTGATTATGTGTCCATTTGGACCTAATTTTTTAAAATTCATTCCTTTATAAATTCATTTTCATCGTGTATTTTATGAGATTTACAATTTTATTAATTTTTCAATCATATAGTTCATTATTTTTTATCATAACATATTAAAAAATCTAATTTTTTTTTATCAAATCAAACAGGAGCTATGTAAATAGCCCCTATTCAAGAATCTGTTTTCAAAATTCTTTTTTTTTCTTTAAACTCATTTTCAACAATATATTTTCAAAATAAAATATTTTTCACGTTAATTCAAAAAAAATTCTTATCTTTTAATCACCCCATTCTCCAAAAATCTAATGTTCAAAAACTAATTCTACCCAAAAAAAAAAATTTAAATAATAATAATAATTGATTATCAAACATGGCTTAATGTCAAAATTAAGAACTTTTATTCAAAACTCATATTTGTTGATTAATTTAGCTCTTTTAGAGAACCTCGTTATCATTTCAATAGTGAAATTCCACACATCTAAAACCACTCAAGTGCCATTGCTCATTATTGACATCAATATTTTCAAGTCCCGCATTATGGGGCCAATGAACAACATACAATGTATGCAACCTTGCGTACGGATAATGACTTGCATAGAAAAAATATACACTTTTTTGTTTCAAATTTTAAGAAGTCGCGAGGTTATAAAATGATGCAATACAAAAAGAAGAAGATGTCATGAAAAAGTGGGATTGGCATGAGAAAATGTAATTTTTCGGAGTGTTTATTTTCGAAAAAATTTCTCTATGTTGAGTGGAAAAGATCCAATGAGCAAAACTCGGCGCCCGTTTCGACAAAATTCTATCGTTTAGGACTTTGAGATGCATTTTTAATTTTTCCGGATAGTTTTCTTTTGTTTAATTAAATATGAATTTAATTTCGTTTAGAGTTAGTCTTTATCTTTAATTCTCGTCATTATTTGAAAGTTTAGTCATTTCCATATTTTAATTACTGCTTTTAAGTTTCAGTAAGAGTTGTAAATCTTAATGATCGACCTTAATATAATTTGATTATGATAGTCTTGAAAAGCTTTCTCAAAATTATTCTCTCTTTCTCGATATTCATGAACGAATCAACAAATTTGAGTTTTTCATGAAATTTGTTCTTCTCTAAAACACACACACACACAAGAAGAAGTTAATTTCGACAAATTATTTGTGAAGGAAATATAATTTTATATTTACCATAAGAGAAATGGTAAAAATGAAAAAAATTATGCTAATAGGAGAGATTAGTGCAATTTTAAAAAACAAAGGGAAGAAGTTCTTGTAATTTATCAATTGATTTTTGAATATATTTTTTTTAATTGATTGATTCTTTATCTTATTTCCAAGGCTTTACTTTCCTTATGGTTCGGACATTCTCTCGAATTTAATAGGTATATTTGGCTAAGCCTTTAAAAAAAATTAAAATTACTTGCAGCCAAACATGATTAAGTTAACGTTTAATATTCACTTAGCCAAACGTGGTAGTCTTATTCTGTTCCATTTATTTCAGTAAATGTCTCTGTTATTAGTTTCACGTTCAAATCATCAACTTTCTTGTGTCTATTTAGTTTGTCCATCAATGGATTGTGCTATATGTTCATAACGATTTATATAATGGTATATCAACAATGAAGTAGCGAGATTTAATCGGATCAAAATCACATAAATCAAATAACTTTCCCACTTACATTTTGACACATCGTCATTACGTAAACATTATGAAATAATTATATACAAGAAGAATTTTACTTTATAAATTAGACAAATTTGCCAAATATGGGTAATCGAAAAAGCTGCATAAGTGATCATATGGCAAATTAGAAACTAGGCCCTTGTTTGATCCCATTTTTTCAAAAATAAATTTTTCTATTTCTTTTTTTCAACTACACATTCTTCAATAAAATAACGTTGCACGCAAATCTAAAACTGTTTTTATTTTTATTTTTAGCCATACATTCTCCATCAATTAACTATTCCAAAATACATATTTCTCTAAAAATAGGATTCAAACAAGCTCTAGCAGATAGTCTTGACACACACACAACCTTAGATGATGATTTAAATTCAAATTTATGTTTATTATCCTCCAATTATGTTTTTGATACATTTGCGTCAACACATTTTTTAACACTTTAGAACATCTTAAACGCGATACTGGATTGATTAAAAATGATGTCCCATAAGAAAAATGACTAATGCTTCTTGTATATAATGAAGTTAAATAATGATTTATATATAAATGAGGTATCAAAAGGAGAGTGAAGAATTTTTTTTTATTTGACTGAAGAAATTCTGATACAATCATATCTCATCAGATCATGTGTATGTAAACTATTATATAAATTATTATGTATATACACAAGCAAAGCAAAAATATATTGTGCTTAAAAATGTTTATGTCCAATAAGAATCTTTCAATCTGTTGTCATAAGAAGTAAACATCTAGATTTGAAAACACATCTAAGCCCTCGTTAGCCGCCATTGATATAATTTAATTTTTATTTACCTTATTTTCAACCACACAATCTTTCATAAAATAATATTATACGTAAATCAAAAATTTTTTTTATTCTTTTTCAACCACTAAATCTCCTAAAAAATACTACTCCACCTATTAAGCAGGTGTTTGGCCCCCATTCTTAGCTAATTTTAATGGATGGAATAGTGTTTTTTTAAAAAATGTGTGGTTGAAAAAAAATGAAAAGTTTTTGATTTGTGTATAATATTATTTTATGGAAGATATAATTAAAAATAAAAGAGAGAGAAAAAAAGAATGAGAATGAGAATGAGAATGAGAATGAGAATGAGATAAGAATAGGGGCCAAATATGGGCTAAATTTTGAAATGATAGGTTGACTCATCAAAATATATAAGATTTATATTAAGAATGGTAGAAATTAAATTTAAGTCAAAGTTAACAATTAATTTTAACCACTCATTTAATAACCCATAAATTTTTAACCACACATTTCGTCAACTTTTATTAAAATCTGCTAAAAATCTAATTTTAATCATCACTGAACATGAACTAATATTTGCGATGCAAATATAAAGTGACTTATTATTATTATTATTATTATTATTATTATTATTATTATTATTATTTTAACATTTAAATAGCAATTCAGGATCAATTTTGAAAATGTTCATTGTTCTCAACCCGATTGTACAACTAGCAAAATTCATTAGATATTAATGTCACACAGATTAGAAGTCTTTCAATCATAGTATTCTTATTTAATCTAAATCAAATTTAGTAATTAATTTTAACTATATATTATATGAAACCCATAATTTTTCAATCACACATCTCATTTATTTTATTAAAAGTTACTAAAATTTTGATTTTTTTAATTCTCAGGGACCATGTGAAATGTACATCACATATTAAGAAAAGTTAATGTAGGAATAGCAAATCGTGCTCGTGGTGCCGTTAAAATTTGGTATTATGGGCATCGAAAAAGATGTAAAACAGAGTTCAGATGTAAAAATTCAGACGTAATTCACAGCACATCGTCCGAATCACATGAATGTCAGCTGCGTCTCTTGTTTTCTTGTGAGTAATGTCGACAATGATTCTCTATACACGAAATTTAATAAATGTTAAATTATTTATTTCAATATACGGATCCTATATACATATACAAGAGAAAAAAAATAAAAAAAATGGAGGAGAACCCGATTACATCCATCATTATCGTCCCAACGCCGGTTGGCTCTTTATAAAAGGTCAACAAAAACTCATTTCCAGCAAATGCAAATCATCATTTCCCTATTTTTTCTCCTTTCTCTTGCATAAAAATAAAATATCCAAATCCCAAAATCCGTTTGCAAGTGATTCGATTTACTCAAAGCCTCTGTTCCATCAATGGCTCACTTGAAGGAAAATATTTCTTCATTCTTCAACAATAGATGGCTGGTTTTTGTTGTTGCAGTGTGGATTCAGTCTTGTGCTGGAATTGGGTATCTGTTTGGGAGCCTTTCGCCGACAATAAAACGTTCATTGAATTATAATCAGAGGCAAATAGCGAGGTTGGGGGTTGCAAAGGACTTGGGGGATAGCGTCGGATTTTTGGCCGGAACTTTATCGGAGATTTTGCCTTTATGGGGTGCTCTTCTTATTGGTGCTATTCAGAATTTCGTCGGATATGGCTGGGTTTGGCTTATCGTCACCGGCAGAACTCCGGCTTTGCCGTTATGGGCTGTGAGTATCAACTTTTTATTCATCGCCATTGATATTGATCTTGTTATGATAACATAATTATCTGCCTATAGATCCACCAGAGCCAAACATCCGGTTTATGTTTTATGCATCCGGATATATGATCTAATAACTAGCTTTAATTCATATTTGCATAGATCATGATCGTGTCATACTTGGTTGGAGATGTGGAAGATGTTGTTTTCTGCTGTCTTTCTTGGAAAAATATAAAATATTTCAATCTAAAATATAATTAAACTCAGCTATATGTAATGAAACATGTTTAAGAACTTTAATATATTTAGTTGCTATTAAATTCATTTGGACTCTTTTGCATTTCGAAGTTTCGGGATTTACTATGCAACAATTCGCAGATTTAAAATTTTAAATTCGAGAAGTATATTGAAGCTCTCGGGTCTTTTATCTTCCTTTTAACTGGACAAGAGATCAAAAGAGTTAATTAAGTAAATTTTCTGAATCGCAATATATTGGAACTTTAGGATTTCCATTTCCATTCAATCTGACATCTCTCTTGGGAGATAAATTTGTTCGTTTTACTCCTTGAATTGCTGTCTGCTTATTGGACTTGTATTATCCATTCATATGCAGATGTGCATTCTTATATTTGTTGGAACAAATGGTGAGACATACTTCAACACGGCAGCTTTGGTGTCTTGTGTGCAAAATTTCCCCAAAAGCCGTGGTCCGGTTGTCGGAATATTGAAGGGTTTTGCTGGATTGGCAGGTGCAATTTTGACTCAAATATATGCTGTGATGCATTCCCCGGACCATGCGTCACTCTTATTTATGGTTGCAGTCGGGCCAACAATGGTGGTCATTGCTCTAATGTTCATCATAAGACCCGTTGGAGGTCACAAACAAGTTAGATTATCCGATGGATTTAGTTTTTCAATCGTTTATAGCATATGCCTCCTTTTGGCTGCTTATTTGATGGGTGTCATGCTTGTGGAAGATCTTGTGGATTTGAGCCACACTGTTATTACAATATTCACGGTGATTTTGTTTATTCTGCTGTTTATCCCCATCGCAATCCCTATCACGTTGAGCTTCTCTCAGGGGCCAAGAATTCCAGCAGAAGAGGCACTTCTATCCGAGTCGCAGAAACAAGAACCGACGAAATACGAAGACGATACTCAAGAGATCATATTTAGTGAAGTTGAAGACGAAAAACCAAAAGACGTAGATATGCTTCCGGCTTTGGAGCGCCAAAAAAGAATCGCCCAACTGCAGGCAAAACTAGCTCAAGCAGCTGCAGAAGGAGCAGTTAGAATTAAGAAGCAAAGGCCGCATAGAGGAGAGGACTTTACCTTGACAGAGGCATTGATAAAGGCAGATTTTTGGCTTATATTCTTCTCTCTTTTGTTAGGCTCTGGTTCTGGCTTGACAGTAATTGACAATTTAGGTCAGATGAGTGAGTCCTTGGGGTATGATAATACCCATGTATTTGTTTCCATGATCAGCATTTGGAACTTTCTAGGCCGGGTTGGAGGCGGTTACTTCTCCGAGAAAATCGTCAGGTACAAATTCCAGCCATTTTCTGCTTATCTCTGTGTTATTTCATCTTGAATCGTCTCTCTTTCAACTCTAACTCATGATACTGCAACAGGGAGTATGCATATCCAAGGCATGTGGCTATGGCCGCTGCCCAAGCCATAATGGCGGTTGGACATTTTATCTTCGCTATGGGTTGGCCCGGGGCAATGTACATTGGAACTCTTCTAGTTGGTCTTGGCTACGGAGCCCACTGGGCAATAGTTCCTGCTGCAGCCTCAGAACTGTTTGGTTTGAAAAAATTCGGGGCTTTGTACAATTTTCTCACGCTAGCGAATCCTGCAGGTTCTTTAGTACTCTCGGGCGTCATTGCCAGCAGCATATACGACAGAGAGGCAGAAAAACAAGCTCATATGCACCATCATGGCCAACGTAGTTTCTTGTCAAGTTTGTCGAGTTTTGTCTATTTGGACGAACCACTGAAGTGCACTGGTGCTATTTGCTTCTTCTTAACTTCCTTAATAATGTCTGGACTTTGCATCATTGCAGCTGTTTTAAGCATGATTCTTGTCTATCGGACAAAGACCGTCTATGCTCATCTTTACGGAAGATCTCAAGGATAATCTGTCATAAGCTTCGTCGATCAGAATTAAGAATTTATAGCAGAATAGAAGTTCAACATGTGTGCAGGTTTCTTAAATTATTTCCTTGATTATCAATGTTTCTAAACTGCTTAAGAGAAAAGCATCGGAGTAGAATCGAAAAAACTCCGGTCGAGAGTGAGATCAAGTCTGCAGATTGGGAGTGGGATGTGTACTTTTGTTTGGATTTTTGTTGTAATTTCATATTATATATTTATATTCTTTGGTCCAATTGATATTATTGGAAGAAAATTTCATCACCAAAGGCAGTTTGTCGAATAAAGTCTCAAAGATTTCTTTGTACATCTAAAGAATCTCAAATTATTAGGTGTTTGTGTTGTGGGATTCATTGGCCAAAAGCATTGCCTCTGTAAGTTAACAAACTGATACGTAACGTTTAGCTACCTAATACTTAAATATATTATACATTTCTTGACGCCAAATGAATGGAAATTCTAAGTAAAATTATTTACTTAGATCAATTAAGTCCTAGTCATAGATATGCACATCAAATTAGGCGTTGAACGTTCTTTAATTATCTAATGAATCAAGCAATTGCAAAATCTGATAATATATATGATCGATATTAAGACCCTATTTTGTGAAGATTAAAATTATATTTTGAATAGATTTTGATAAAAATTATCGAATGTGTTGTTAAAAAGTTTTAATCTATGAATTTTGTGGTTAAAATTGAAAATCTAAAAATTGTAAAGAATCCAGAGGACTGGGCGGGGGGGGGGGGGGGGGTNGGGGGGGGGGGGGGGGGGGAATTTTTCATTCGTGGTCGTTGAACTTTCAACAAAATTTTAATTCAATTGAGTTACTCAACTTCAAATTGATTCCAAATTTCACCATTGAATTGATAGCTCTCTCAAATTGATGAAAATTGTTTAATGGAAAATTTTACTTGTATATAATTATTGCACATAATGTTGTTCATAATGTGATGTGACAATCATCCGATTATTGGTGTGCAAGTGTGAGATTTGAATTAAACGTTGGATCCAGTGTCACGTGCAATTATGAACACCATTATAAAGATAATTATGTACATGTAGCACTTTCCTTGTTTAATTATTTAATTGACTTTACTGCAATGGATCTTCCACATATTCACGCCATATCATTAAATTGTTACAATTAAAAAACGTGCAGTCCCACATTTTATTCTGAATACGTTGTGACAACCCTTATTTTTTTGTCTCGGGTTGCTTATTGTATGGAAGACCGATTATGATATGACAACCAACACGCAATCTGTTCAGGAAATGATAGGTGACACAATGTAGTAATGAAATTTAAAATTAAATTAAGTTGGTGAACCAATAAAGAAAAAATAAAGTTCAAACGAAATAAAGGAAGACAAGTCAAAATTCGAAATCAATAGCGACATCAGAATAAAATTACAATATTCATCAATTAAATGTACAAAACCATCCAACTACGTGTGGTTGCAGGATTAAATGTTCAAAATAGTCAATTCTTATCTTTAATCTTCAATAACTAATATAAATTTTTTTTTGTTCAACTTTTAATTACTAATTTAAAAATAAGAGTCGTAATGGTATTTTTTATTGTCGTCATGGAGAAATTACGCTAACTAATAGAAAATTAAAATTAAAATAAAAATATGATGAAAAAAGTTATAAAACATAAATGCGAAAGTTAGCAAAAGTTGGGGACTACAAAAATTATGGTTAATATATAATTACTTAAATTAATAATTAACGAAGATGTTTGCAAACGACACCGTATTATCTTCCCTCAGCCCTCTCTGCAACAAACGACAATTTAGAAAGTAAAAATGGATGCATTAAAGTTACTCTGCCTTCACTCACGCATGAACTAGAGGAAACCGGACCCAGTCAACTTCCAACATAAACAGAGAAAACGGAAACATTTTTAAAGTAAGTCTTTGAACCTTACGGAAATAAACAGAGAAAACAGAAACATTTATCTATCTTACAAAATTAAAGTTGTAAATGGAGGAAATGGAGGTAGATAAGCAAAACAAACATACAAATTTTCAAAATGGCTGTTGATCATTGTTTAAAAAAAAATTTGTAAGAACTTTAAAAATAATAAAAACCCAAAACTGCCCCTGATAAGAAAACTTTGAAACCGAAGACAGGAGAGAAAGAAAGGAAGGAAAAGAAGGAAACCGACGAGTTTTTCTTGGGAGGAGACCGACTGGCCACCATTAGAAGCGAAGAAAGTAAGTTTTCGCACTCTTGAATCCACTCGAAATTGGTGGAGCCCCTATGGCTTTAAAGAAGTGGTAGCACTTATCTGCCACCCAACTCATGAAGCGATTGAGGGCCGCCACATGCCCTATCAGCCGCTGAACCTCTTTCTTATTAGTGGGGCTCTTCATTTCCAGTATAGCTTGTATCTTGTCAGGGTTTACCTCAATTCCTCTTTGGGTGATCATGAAGCCTAGGAACTTTCCTCCGGTAGTACCGAAGACACACTTCATTGGGTTGAACTTCAAGTTATTGTGTTGAGCCACATCAAATCCTTTCTACAGACAAGCCACATGATCGATAGCCTTGACACTTTTCACTACCATGTCATCTACGTAGGCTTCTGTGACAGTTTCGATCAGCTCCGAAAGATTCTATTCACCATCCTGGTAGGTTGTTCTTGTATTTTGGTTTATTTTGTTGGAAATAGTGGTAGAAATCATTGTAAAATATGTAAAAATAATAAAAACTAACATTTTTTAAGGTTTAGGTGTCGGAGATCGCCGAAAATGGTGATCTCTGGCAAGGGGGCCGTCTTTGACAACCCCAAACGGGGAAATTCTTTGGTCGATGGTATTCTAGACATACGTGTACATCCAGGAGTATGTGGGCTGACTGCTGGTGGCAACAAGTTATTCAATGAGAGAATGTGATAAGGAACTTCCCACTCGGCTTCATTCGGTACAGGAAATATGATTTCGGCATATGCTGTTCTCCAAGAACCAGTCGTGTAATAAGCACTGCATAAGGTGTGTAGTGGAATTCCTCTATACATAGGCATCGCCACTGCATGTGTACACTGAAAACTCTCCAACTGAAACTGTTTACACGTGCACGTGTTATCATTCAAGTCGACGATGTATCCGAAATTACGTGCACATCTCGCGGAGAAGCGAAACTGATCTAGTGGTTCTACATATACCTTCTTTGCCACCTCTAGAGTCTTGAAGAGTTTATCTTCCTGAGTCGGGGTTAGCACACTCGTGCAACTCTGTGATTCCTCACGACGATTATGAAACCACTGATGCAGCTTGTCACGAATATTCTCAAGCATTACGAGAATTGGTAACTCTTGATCCTTCTTAAATAAGGCATTGAGCGACTCCGCATTGTTCTACGTCATCATGTTGTATCGACGTCTTGAAAAATGTGATCGTGCCCAATGTTCGATCCCC